TTCCGTGTTCTTGTGCGTAACGCACCACTTGAAGTTTAACTTTAGACGTATAACCTGCTCTTACTCGACCCATGTTTCACTCAGAACTAACCAGGCAAGTCAAGTAAAGGCGAAAAGGTTATAACTCTCCACCGCAATGCCTTTGTTCCGAGCGGTACCGTTATTTTCGCTAGTTGCGAACTTAGGAATGTTGAACGTTGCCAAATTTCGGAATAATTTCTACTCCTGAAATAATATTCCAAGAAAATTATTTTTTCTACAATTTCTATCTGAAAATTGTGCTGCGGCCTATACACGCACGCGGCCTATACATGCGTAAATACAGTAGTTTACTTTGTCTAACTACGTGCTTTACATGCAGGAGGCTTTTTAATTTCTGGTAGGTTTGTAAGAAGGGTTTTAAGCTTTATTTCCGGGAATTGCAGTGATGGCTCAAAAGAGCGGCGCGCCGATTGCCACGTCATCTCTGCAGCCTCAAATAACGAGATGCAGGAGATGATGAATTTTAAGGGACCTAAGAGAAGGCTGTCATGCACTGAATTTTAGTCCTTGTTTATCATTTTTCTGGAGTGACTGAGGAAACCTAAGAGGAATCTCAGTTAGGATAGAAGGTGTCTCGTATCGGACACGAACCAGTGTCTCCGACATACAAGTCAGAAACGGTTCTGTTTGGGTGAACTGCATGGAACAGTTCCCTTACAGTTAGTCATGAAATTCGCCGAATTTCGCAGGACTCTTTTGGAGGCATCGGTTTTGTGGAGTTGGTCTATACACACTTGCCGACGTCATGGTTGCACTCCGAGTCACCCGGACACATTTCGTAATATTCGTTGCTACCGTCGTAACCCGCTGAGCAATTGTCTCCAATACCTAGAAACAATTTTAATTACATTGACGTTGTAACACATTATGTATTTATAATAACAATATTAATAAAACAACGTATTGAAAATATCGGTAAGAGCTGAAAGCAAATTCCGGAAGACAGTGAAGAGCAGTATCCTTTTGAACTGCGTAGGTCTGACTTTGCCCTCCGCTTGTTCTCCGTCTATGTGCAACGTTTGTTAATATTCTCTCATTGTCATCTCTTTATTGTCACTCACTGTAACCGTTCTGCTTTTCTCTTCTCTGCAGCGTCCAGTGAGCAGACACAATAAATCTCACAGACGAGCATTCAGAACTCTGCACATACCAACAGTGGAACAAGAAATAACCATTCAACGTTATGCGTCGGAGAGAGGGACCATGAATTAAGTCGGAGTGTACAAGTGCGGTGCGGTGAACAGCGAGGATAAATTTGAGCCGATCTAGGGACGACAACAAGTATTATTCACGGATAATTTCGTTTGGAGCCATATTGTACTGTAAAATAAGAGTAAAAAAGAAAGTAAAGGTAACCTTGTATCAGGCCGTGGAGGCCCATAGGGTTTTTGAAATGTAGATGAAGGCAATGTAGTCAGCCCTATGCGTCGGCTGCCCTTTACTCCAAGAACATTCAAAGAATATTCCTCGTATTCATTTCTGTTAGAGTCTGAGTCGACCTCAGGGCCATAGTGCGGCTGGAAGGATTAGGTCAACTGAATAATCCAATGGCCTCGTCGGGACTTGAAACCTCGGCCTTCCGGTTTGTAGCATAGCGTCAAAACCAACTAAGCCATTCCATGCCCCCCCCCCCCCAAACCCCATTACGAACTAACTCCNCAAACACATTGTAGTAATACTTCTAAGTTACATATTGGGTCATTAAGATTTGAATATCACCTCTTTCTCTCTTTTTAAAATTGTTGTGCATATGACGAACATGGTATTTAATATAAAGGAAGTTCTGTGACAGTGGAAAATTGGTGAGAGTTATGGCTGATGGATCCGTCTGTTACCGAAAAAAAGAATGCCTGTGCTGGCGAGACCCATATAGGAAATCAGTATTTTCTATATTCCCGGAAATGTATCTAAAATTTTACGTACGTAACTTATTTAGTTTCCTAGTTCCAACGAAAGAAGCGGTGTGTTAGATTGAAAAGAAAACGTGTATATGCTCAGGAACATATCTGAACCCAAGAGACGTGAATACATTTCATAATTCAGTGAGCTGCTTAAGGAGAAACACTGTGATGTGTACAGGCCATCAAGTTCTGTGCAGACAGGGAGCTCTAGACATATAAGTAGAGCCCCATGTACAGAGGGGATGCAGCAGTCATGTAGTGCGCGTGGACTGTTGCAGGATTGGAGGCAGAGATGAATACAAGGAGAACATAAATAATACAGCCTTAATGACTACTTGGCTGTTTGCCCAAGAATATTAAGTTGTGTAATAATATTGTAGCTGAAATAAAAATATATAAGCAAGTTGTTCCATATAATTACTATGGCCTCAAAGAAGAATGAAATGCAGTGTTTTGATCTAATGGCTTAGGATTGTAAAGAATTTGGAAATATTTCGAAAAAATAGCATATCTTGAAAGTGCAATTTTAGGGGACATCGAAAAAGAAATTAACAAATGCCGGTATAACAAAATTATGATGCGAGATTTTTCTTTCTAATATTGCCCAATACAAAAATAAGAACGCCTTATTTTTGGAAAGTTAAGGATAAAAATGAACTAGATGGTATGAGGTGTTCTGTTTGCTAATGCTAAAGATATTTGCGAAAATATCTATAATTATATTGAAGGAGTTAAATTTCGAATCTATTTTTCTTAATACTATAGTTTTCCACTATTTTTGCCTACAAACCTCAGAAATAATAAAATATTCAATGTTGTAAACATATCTGATTTACTCATTGATCTGTCGGCCCATTAAATTACATCTGGGCCTCGTCAGCGCAGTCAATCTTGGCTTCATGTTCCATTGAGAACTATGATACAAAATTTTGTTTTCTCCTAGACATGCAACGTGCTCTAGAAGTGGGGCCCTATATTTCGACGAGAGTATTCGGGCATTCTGCGCAGGCGCTACGTCTGTTACCTAGGAGAGTCAGCACGAGAATATCCTCTCTGTCACAGCGGCAGATCGCCCTATATTTGTTCTTATGCAGTTTTTGCTGAAAGCGACTCACCGTTAAGAATGAGTCAAGCATTGTATCTTAGTGTTCAATTGTCGTCGCGACTGAGTGAGTGGGTTTCCAGTCTCTTATGTGCGAGTACCTGTGATCAGGCCACCAAGGTTTCGTAGTTTTCTTCAGTCCCTCCAGACGGATNAGTTTCGTGAAGATTGTGTTAAGAGTTTTTGTTGTAGGGTTTGTAAAGTGTGGAAACCCGTAATATTGTGATCATTAATTATAGCCGTTAGTTGTAGATTGTTCAATAAACCAGTTAACGATCTCTACGGCGTATTCAGTAACGTAAACACGTTACAATATCTATATAAATAAAAATGTAAGTGTTCGTTTGCCTCTGCTCGAAAATCTCCGAAAGTTCTTCACCGATTGCTTTGAAATTTGGCACAACGTTGCATTGGAATACGCGCGATTTCTTATATACCTATTATATAGATGTCACACCTGTGCCAGGTAAAACAGGTAAAAACATGTCACATGTTTCGAATTTAGCAGTCGTTTCCATAGTAACGCTAGAACAGTTACATAGGATAAGAGGATCCGTTGCGTAACAACGGATGAAACCGGAAAGTATACTTCCATGGACACGCAATAAGAGTGGGCCGTTGCATAGGAATTGCCGAAACAAGAAACGCGTTTCCCCGGAGATGATAGGATAAGAGGTTCCGTTGCGTAACAACGGATGAAACCAAACACTTCTACAAGGTGTTCTGTCGTCATCGAATACCAACAGATCGTTGCCTAGGAATAACCGCGGCAACGAGCACAGAACACGTGAAATGGAACCGTGGGCGAAAGTGCCCTCTATTGCGTCCGAAACCAGGATATAACAGTCCAGCTCCGAAGAGTTTTTGGTGATGCTGGACGTGAATAATTGTACTCGCTGGTGTAAAAGTGAGCGTTCAATAACTTATTCGCTGAATCCGAGACGTACGTGGAAGTTATTTGTCGCACTGAATAGGAGACACGTGACCACAACAGGGTTACATAGGTAACACGCGACATATTCTTATTATCAAAGTACACGTAAATAATGAAACAATTTAAAAGACATCAAGAATATGTCACTCACTAAAAATGTATTTCAAGACTTTATGATGTTAAAATCATGTGTGACATATGTCACACCTGTGACAGGTTGGTTGGTTGTTAAAATAAGTAATGGTACTCAATATTAATATATTGTAACGTGTTATACGTCGTTCATTTTGTGAGTATCGTTTTTTTTTCATTGTTTTCGTTTCGTTTTCTTAACTGTTCTCCTTATTTTTCAGTGCAGTTGGCGGTGGGATTGAGCTGTGTCGATTGATCTGCGTTTGAATTGAAATATTTCGTTAATATTTTTAATTTTTTTGTTTCTTTGTTTTCCAGTTCGTGTTCTTTCCTTTTTTAATGTATTGCAATTTTGTATGTTTTTGTTATAAATATATTTCTTCTTATTCAGTGCAATCGATCTGCTTTAGTTCATCCAAATAATGATTCGCGGAAGATCAAACTTCGGTCGTCGTACTCGCGGAGCGAAAGCAAGGCGTAGAGTAATTGCAAATCAAACTGGGGAAGAACGGGCATGAGCGAACGAGCGAATGAGACAAAGAATGGCTCAAATACGTGCCGAGAAAGCAGCAGAGCGACGTGCAGCCAGACTTGAGGAGGCACGGTTGCGAGCACGGCGATCGCGTTCTGCAGCTTCAGATCTGCTTCGTTCTCAACAGAATGAACGCGACAGGCTGAGAGTGGCTGAGTAAAGTTTATTTTTCATTGTTTTTCATTTTGTTTTCTTAACGGTTTTCCTTATTTTTCAGTGCAATTGGCGGTGGGATTGATCTGTGTCGATTGATCGGCGTTTGAATTGAAATATTTCGTTAGACTGAGCCACAGGAACGCGTGGCCGGGTACAGATAATTTTTAATATAACACTAGAAGTGAAGTGAAATAGACATGCCTCGTGATTTGCATTCTTTAATTTTAAACTACTTAAACAGTCAGTAAGCAGTAGTTACATCAAATACTCGGCATAGAATCTAAACGTCACCAAAAGTGTGCGTGTATAATCCCCTTGAGAATAAGAAGTTGTCAATCTGCAGCTGCTCGTCTCCATTTGAGAATTAACGGGAAATTCCGTGGCTATGATGTCCGGTACACTGAAACAGATAAAAGATTGTGCTTGTTTATATAATAGTAATACTTGTTAATGACCAACAAATATAATTTTCTGCTTCAAAGCAGGAAGGTTATCGACTGAACTAAGCATAAGTCAGAATTTTGATCTCTGTTGTGGATAGTCAATTCATCTCCTGCCAAATCTTCACATCAGATCTGGGGGCCCACACAGCTTCACATCCAATGGGAACTTGGGCAAAGTTTGCTGCTCCATTATCAGTATTTATTTCATACAAACTGTCATTCCTAGTTTTGTGTTTTTTTTTGGAATAGTTCCTCTCTCTATTTCAGCACTGACTTTCCTAACACTCTCAACTAACTAACTAACAAACTACCCGAACAATTTATTAACTCGATATAGCTCACTCCTTCTTTATAAGCTGCTAGACGCTCAACTACTCAGGATTTTCCCGACATTTTATGGAAACCGATAATTTATTAATGCGTTCCCAGGAGCTCTCCAACGATCCGTATCTTGAGCCAGATAAATGCAGTCCATAACTCCCCATCCTATTTTCTATGTTAATTTTTAATTATCCTCCCACCTACGTTTAGTTCTATCTAGTGGATACCTTACATCCGGATTTTACAACAATACGTCACGATACACGTACGATGCGATAGTTTTGGTTTTTATGGACTGCACACACCGGATTTTCATAAAGGGATCCTTTGTATCATTAGATTTATCCTCCTTGAGGGCATGTACATGCACATTCGGAACAGTGACTCTAATTGAAAGGACTTGCTTGAAAACGTTCTTGCCTACTTCACAGTGAATGATGAAGCGCTTAGTATCCACACAACTTACCACATTTGCAAGTACCTCCGTCACAGAATGCCCTCTCGAAATAGATAGTGTACTGCCTCTGGCATGTGACCCAACATTGCTGGAAATCGCAGGCCGCTTCTATGAAAAACGGAGCAAAATAAGGATGGCTGTGAAGACTATTTTTCAATACTCAGCATAGAGCGAATAGAAATTAAATTCTACCGATAAGAAAGAACCTCCCATTTTTGTTTGTTTCAAGTTGCCCAGGTAAAATGTCAGCCATGATAAAGGAATATGGTTTGGAGAGTGCTGTATCTTGGTTGTAATGCCGGAAGCCTGACAGAGGCTTACCGTTGTTACAGAAGAATAGAGTGCCTCCTTTTTCTGTTTCATTAAGTGGGGTGAAGAAGGAAATAGAAACAAGCAGAGAAATTTGCCTGCTGCTTGCTGAATGCCGGTTTTCTTGCTTCACTTATATGTAAGCACTGAGGTTGGAGGTAGTATAGACATCCAAAACGTATGTTTCTACTAGACTACGTGGGAACACATTCCAAAAATAGTAAAGATTATAGACACTATCGTAAAAACGTCAAATGCAAGTAATTTGGATTAATTACCGGCGAGAAAAGATAATTTTTCTCTTCTTTATAACGTTCAGTGTACCTTGGATACAACCCAGTCTCCTACTCAGTGGGTGCCGAGGGCTCTTTTCTCAGGGAGAAAATGGACGGGGAGTGAAGCTGGGCCAATCAACTACTACCGAGGTTCAGAATTCATAGAGCTATACTTTCATTTCTTCATTGATAGTGATTATAAAGGAAGTATAATGTTATCCCTCTGCTACGTTATTTAAGCACCACGAAATGGAGACGTATGTGGAGTGTAGTGACAGCTCCATGTATTCTAAAGGCCTCGGTTCCCCTTGGATAAGAGAATTAGAAGCTCCTATGCCGTGGGGGAGAGAAAAATATACTTGTAATTAAGAATTGTGAAAAGTCAATACGAACAATTACCAATGCAATCCCCTTCTATAGTCACTCATACACGTGACGGTAAGTTAGCTTACCTGCAGGGTACTGAGCGATGAAGGTGCCGAGCACGACGAGAATTGCAAACAGGAACACGGCAGTCCTCATTGTAGCGAACTTGGAGTTTCTGGGGTATCCTTGGTATGATGGAGTTCTCAAGATGCCCACAAATAGTTTTCAGACACTGCGTTTTGCAGAAACCAGATTATACTTCGCGCAATTTCTCTATTTCAGCAAATGTGTGACTTGAGAATAACCTCTGAGTTCTATAATCAATGTAAAGTCTATAGTTGTCTGATACGTGGGTTAAAATGCGTTTAGAACATCCTGTGATGTGGTGTACATCGCGCATTCGTGGTTTATTTGTTGTCAGAATTTCGTTGTTATTGAAGTCGGACATTTTTGCTAAGATTTTCCATTTTGCCCCCCCCCCCCATATCTCTTAGGCTCATGTTTACAACAAGGGATTAGAACAGTCTAATTCCGTTTCTATCGTTATCATGCGGTCCCTGAAACCCATGGATAAAGACGGGAGATCTGGACTATATTGGCTAACAGAAAATTCCGGTGTTAGCCCCGATCAGAACGCGCATTCAGTCCTTACCAATGAGCAGTGTACAGGGGAATGAGTTTTGAGATCTATATTAAGGAGAGAAATTATGGTGGTGTTCGTGTTAGATATTCACTGGTATTTCGGGGGAGGCTGTGCCTCCATCTTCATGAACCCTGAACCTGAAATAATAGTCTCATTCGGATTTAATATCAAATTTTTTTCAATTTCATTTTTGGCCAAGATCAATTTTTCTGCGTTTCGCTACACCACATTTGTAACTGCATACATAGATGTGTTTTGAATAAAATGAAATGAAATTGTCACTAATTCAATTCGTTAAGGTAGCAGACATAGACAGTAAGTCGTTCATTTCACTGACCACCTGTGTCATAGGCAGCCATTTCTATCTCGCCTGTCTCAACGTACTTTTCAAACTCAGGCAACTGTTGGTACATAAGTTAATTTTAGTTGCAGAGCCGTAGTAATTTTGCTCGAATATCACGTGTTGTATCAGTAAACTGAAATGCTTTAATTGTTTAAACTCTGAGACGGAACGTACGTGTATGTCCTCTCAAGCACAGGAATAATAACAAAAGAGAGTTACATTCTCGAAGCTGTTGGGATTCCTCGCTGCAGTGGCAACCAACATGCTTTGGCGTGTGCCATTTGCTACAGTTCTATATATCCCTAATTGCTTACTGAGATACTCGCTGGCTCTTGTTACGATAGAAATTTTATAGATTAGGGTATAGGATGTCATTTGTATTTATTGCTTTTTTATTGTTATTATCCGCGTATATTTGTTTAGCGAATGCCCATTAGTCACTTTTATTATTATTATTATTATTATTATTAAAATTATTATTATTGGAGGTGTGGGTTTCCCCATGCACCGCGACCAGTGGTCTATTGTACGTCCCCTCTGAGGTATTCTGCCAGTCTCTATACACTACCGATACTGGCGCGTCCCATCAGTCCCGAGTCAGCCAGCGAGTTCGGCCTCTACTGGCTCAGNTATCCCTAATACTGAGATACTCGCTGGCTCTTGTTACGATAGAAATTTTATAGATTAGGAAATAGGATATCATTTGTATTTATTGCTTTTTTATTGTTATTATCCGCGTATATTTGTTTAGCGAATGCCCATTAGTCACTTTTATTATTATTATTATTATTATTATTAAAATTATTATTATTGGAGGTGTGGGTTTCCCCATGCACCGCGACCAGTGGTCTATTGTACGTCCCCTCTGAGGTATTCTGCCAGTCTCTATACACTACCGATACTGGCGCGTCCCATCAGTCCCGAGTCAGCCAGCGAGTTCGGCCTCTACTGGCTCAGCTGAATCTCTCGATGCTTCCCCCATCTATCAGAGGCGTTAGAGATTACTGTTGGGTGGAAATGTCCGATCAATTTGGCTCAGTGGTCCCCTTGGGATATGAGGTTCTTTTACGTGCCGTAAACTACGACACGGGACCCACAGCTTAAGTTCCCTCCCGGAGGACTTGTTCATTGAATTTTTCCGCCCTTAAAAATTCCACGACCTCCGCTGCGTTTGAACCCGCATACCTTGAGTCATGAGGTGGGAACGTTACCCCTAGACTACGGAGGCCGCTTCCTTTTATTAAGTTCCTTGTTTCAACGTCAGAACGAGTAATATTTCGTCCAGTTGGAACTGGCTTGACTTCAACAGAATTAGTAAGAAATTACTTAGTGGAATGTAAGGCAATAGCCAATGAATTTAAGAAAATATAGGAATTTATTGCTTTTTACCTTAACGAAGTTACTGAGCCCTCTCACTGCTGCGACAACCGCTCGTGCTTTGGTGTATGCCACTTGCTACAGGTCTTATATATCTGTAGTGACTTTGGTCGAATTTTCCTCGAAATTGAAACGCGCATGTCTCTTGTTATCAATAATATTTTTGTACTGTTATATTAGAATCCCTGTGGTGCAGGAAACCATATATTATAAGTTTGTGTCAATGTCTCCCACACAATTTATGTAGTAAATTCCCAATATTTTTGCGATAACCGGCTTTGTTCAATGTGGGCACATGTCGTGTTACAGCCTGGTATAGTGGCCTGGTATCCAAAAAATTCATTAGGACATACTTAATAAATGTTAGGATAAAGTAATTTTAATCTCGTTTTAAATTTACTCGTATATTTGCACACGATTTTTCATTTCACCCCCAGTGCATCTTTGACGTCACAGGCCTCTGCTTCGGATAATTTGTTATCAATTTTCTAGGTTTAACCAGCCATAAATTTGCAAGTTGGAAAAACTCCAGTTTCTTTTCTCGTACCACTTTTATAAATTGCTTAGTGATTTATTAAACTCGCAAGTAGGATGGGTTTTATAAAGAGGCGTATTTGCTCTATGCAGGAACTACTGAGGTACGGAAACAGCCGTTTCTAAATAATACACGTACGCAGCAACGCAACAACGGGGTTATCTTACCCGTTTCTAGGCAACGGCTCGATAAACAAAATTCCGCATAGGAAATATATTAGATTGCCTATTAAATTCAGCTCAATTATATATCGAATTATTTTTTTCACACTATAAATTTTTTGTTATATAAGGAGCAGGATGTAAACAATCGAGCCCAAATTATAAAAAACAGAAAATAAAATACAGAGAAAATTAAAAGTCTTCTATACTGTGACATACAGAATATAAGTATCCTGAAGATGAAATTTCAGATTCCTCCGAAACTTTGATACATATCTACTTCACTTAACGGTGTCATACTACCATAGTCAATAAGTTCGTGGAATGGCCGCAAAGCATCATACGGGAATTTAGTATCAAAATATTTCAGCTATTATCAATGTTGGCAGACTTGCATAGCGGCCAACAGCAACTATTCTGAGGGCCGATGTGGATCTGCGTAAGCGTATGTGAATACCTTGTAATATGATGCGGTAAGACCACATTTCACAAACTTAATGACTCCAGCACATATGTCGGAAGATATTAATGCAGAAAGCAGTGAAACTCTGTGACACCACGAGCATCTAAAATAAAAGACAGCACTAGGCTCTTATTCGGGAGTTGTTGGGCTCTAATCTAGGCTAATACCTGAATGATATTTCTCTCGGTTTATCTCAGTTCCTTCAGGCAAATGCCGGAATAGTACCTTAGTTACATCACTACCGGTTCCTTCTAAATTCCTTTCAATTCATAATTCATCCGGCATCTTGCCATTCGTCGCTGTTACGTCGTCGTGATACCGTAAGCGTCATCATTCGAACCGCTGATCACTAACCAGTTTCTGATGTGATTGTACAGACAACGTAAACATTTACAGTTTTGGTGGTGCGAAAGGAAGCCGAGCATCACGTGGAAGAGATACGAGTATTGTTGCCAGAGAGGATCTCCGTTTTGCTGATGAATGTTTCGCCTCTGATTTCTGCCTGACTATTTCTCGTTTAAAGCAGCAACGAGAACACAAGTCTACTGTTATTCTTTATTATGCCATGGTGGCAGGGGTCGTGGAGGTATCCCTCCTTGCCACCACATCTTACGCTGTAAGGGGTTAACACAATAATTCTCGATTACCCTCCCCTAGGATTCTCCTGGTTCTGGACTTCCTTCGTTATATAAAGCTGCCACCATCTTATTATATCTTGAAAGGTGTAATGAAAGTACTAAGGGCCGGTAGCGCTGTGGTCGAGCGTTCTCTTTTGGCTGGCCCTTTCATCACTGTCATCTCTTATTATTGGCGTAGAGCGGGCGTGTCGGATCTGACCCTCCTCTACCCATCGACTGTCACACCATATATTACACTTCTACGACAGGAGTGGGTTTGATATCTCACCACTGTCCCCAATTATTATTATGTCTTAGTGACGGGGAGGGTTACAACACGCTAAATCACTCGGTCTGCCATTTCTCTTTGGCTAGTCCCTTCGCTACCTCAGTCAACCCTTTGTTGACTCGGCTCACCGCCGTTGCCGTACGTAGTACTTCTATATAAGGGGTGAAAAAACACAGTTACTCTCTCTCTTTCTAAGTCAGCCACTTTGCGTTGGCTGATCCTCACCTCTGCCATCACTTTGTTATGCTTGAAGGGGCTAATGTATTATCTAAAGTGTATCTTCCCTTGTTCCCTCTCGGGACGCTATCTCTCTGTCTCCTATTGGTCTCTCACCCTTAACTTGGATTCTCATAACCCTTACTGCTTGTGGCATTCGGCTGCCGTTGCCTGGGTCAGTTCCGCCCTTCGCTTAACTAGGATCGCTCTGGATCGGCCGTGGACGGGTTGGTTATGGAGGTGTGAATCACAATCCCGGTACATCCTACTCTAATTACCCTGTCTATTTACACTCTTATTTACAATCCTATTTACAGTATTAACAAGGTCGACTTTCAGTCGGGACTACATAGTGTCTTTACGTTACTACGCTATGAACCTCCCCTTCTGGGGTGTAAAACTTGAGTCTGTCTCTCTCTCTCTCTCTCTCACTCTCTCTTCTGTTTCGACTCTTGAACATATGCAAGCATTCATCGTTCGACGTGAACCTTTTTCCTGTCTCCATTTCCTACTACTCATTACACAATTCTACACTATTCTTTCATAATACTTCACCCTTAAAATAATTTACCCCTAAAGTTATGCCTACTAAAAGCCTACGTATATTTATCACAAAAATCGAGTCACAACTATAAACACAAATGTGCGTGCTCTGCGCACTACCAGTAATCATAACACATACACTATAACGACGGCCATATTGCCGGACTAGCATCCTAGGCAATTACTTGTTACATGATTTATATCATTCTACCATAAGGGCTCGCCGGGCACACTGGAGTCCGTTTTCAACATTTTACAAACAACCATTTACCAACAACAATAAAATTTAACAGCATGGCTTATATGAGTAAACGTGACTTACTTGGAATAAGAGACGCAAGCTGAATTCCACCACTTGTAGGACCCATCTCGAATAGAGCCTCCGGCTGACAACTGGTTATTAAGTTTTTGATCCGATCCCCCGTGATTTTCCTTCATTTTTTATACGTTAATTTTGCTGGCACTGTAGTTGGCGAAAGAGGGCGGTTAACTACTCTTTTCGTCCTACACTTCGGGGTGGAGAGTTTCCATTGGTTAACCCCTACGGTTGTGGGCAGGCCCGTGGTACATAGTTGCTGCATATTTGATAATATTATTATACTCCAGTGGCCCAGTTAGCGGAGCTTTCTACATATGCGATTACGCATAAATGCTGATCATCAACATTCTTAACCTAGATCCATAGTCCATGTGTTGTCATCTTTACTCGATTGCTGTAAAAAGCTTTTCGCAAGTCTTGAAACATTTAGGCAAGGCGTTTTGATTTCTAGTCTCAAAATTGCGGCGCAACATTCTTACACACAAAAGTGTGAGCTTATTGGTTCTCTCACTGCATAGAATACTCTAAGTTTGCCGTTTCAAGAAATTTATCTGTATAAAAAGATGTCTTGTGAAGAGACAGCCGAAAGAAGACAATTGAATGTGAAACATGTATATTACTGTTACTTGTTCGTGTCAAACAATTTGTGGGAATTTATTCCAGGTTAGTCTGTCTACAAGACCCGGTTGAACCCTCCGAAACACTTCTGTAACATTGCTTGTATTAAAGTCCTTATGCCGCAACACACTGCACACAGGTGTCTCGAAATATCCAAGGTTTTCATACACAATGAAGGACTGATGTTCACGTTCGAAATTAGTATTTATGAATATACACGTATATTTACTGATCATATTTGCACCAAGAGTGAGGACATGACTCAAATTATATTTAGTACGCTGATTTTCGAATACCTTACTTGTGGATTTAATTACCTCATTGGCCTTAATTACAATTTATTCCTGATCAAATTCTAGTAATGGGACAATTAAAATATATTTGTGCTTTGTTTTATTAAACGGACATTTTCACTGATACTTCTGATCACCGTAGCCGTGCATTCTGAGGCACTAACTGTCTTTCCTCCCTCGAACGCTGGAATCGTTGGTTCGAATCCCACTCAAGGTATGTGTCTGTGTTCGTAGCGTTCTAGCGACGGGTTGATCACTCGTCCAAGGAGTGAAGTCAGCGTCCAAAAAAGGGCTGTAGTGCCAATAATGAATAAATGAATGAATGAGTGGACGAATGGGCAATCCTAAACTTCTACGGGCTTACGAAGTTTATGCGTGTTGGTATAGAGTCTACTTAACAATACTGTGGTAATCCAAAATATATGTTAAGAACGACCAGACTTACTGAAGATCGAGCCGTGTGTGATAAGTTTCAGAACGTCAGAAACTGAAGACGTTAAATGGAAGACGTGGTTACTTAGCTACTTCGTTCACCTGCAGGAGGCTTTCTAATTTCTGGTAGTTTTTTCAAAAAAGGATTTAATAGTTTACTTTGTCTAACTTCGTGAGTTACATGCAGGAGGCTTTCCAATTTCTGGTTGATTTCTAAGAAGGGTTGAAAGCTTTATTTCCCGGAATTGCAGTGATGCTCAGAAGAGCCGCGCCCCGATTGCCACGTCATCTCTGCAGCCTCAAGTAACGAGATACCGGAGATGAATTTTAAATGACAGAAGAGAAGTCAGTCACGTACTAAATTTTAGTCGCTGTTTCGTCATTTTTCTGGAGAGACTGAGGAAATCTAAACGGAATCTCAGTCAGGATAGACGGTGTGTCGTACCGGACTCGAACCAGTGCCTCCGGCATACATATCAGAAACGGTTCTGTTTGAGCGAACTGCATGGAGCAGAGCCCTTAGAATCAATCATGAAATTCGCCCGAATTTCGCAGGAACCAGGCCTCCTTTTGTGTTCATTTTAAGTACTCTGCAAATAAGTCATGCGTAATGTCAATTTTAATTGGGTAAGGTATGTGGAACAAAAGTGGCACTAGTACGAGTATCTTCAATGTTTTATTACACTGTTACGTTTAGTACAGCAGCTCACTACAATACGTGTCCTTACGGGAGTATCGGTGTGGTGGAGTTGGTCCTTACACACCTGCTGCTGTCACGGCTGCACTCCGAGCCACCAGGACACACTTCGTAATGTCCGTTCCTACTGTCGTAATCCGCTGAGCAGTTGTCTCCAATACCTAGGAACAATTTTAATAATATTGACTTTGTAAGATATTTTGTATTTATTATAATAATAATAATAACACAACGTATTGAAAATATCGGTAACAGCTGAAAGCAAATTACGGAAGACACTGAAGAACAGTAACCTTTTGAAGTGCGTAGGCCTGACTTTGCCGTCCGCTTGTTTTCCGTCTATGTGCAACGTCTGTTTATATTTTCTCGTTGTCATCTCTTTATTGTCACTACAGGTTTCCGTTTAACCGGCCATCATCAGGTGAACAGGTTGTTATGATTTTCACTGTAATGCCGTTCTGCTTTTCTTATGTAACTTCCTCTGACTACTTCTAGGTTACGTGAGTTAACGGGCTGTTGCAATGAACATGTTTGCGTTATCTGCAATATGTGATCAGTTATATTAGAATTTTATGTCATACGAAAAGAGAACAGTGATACATTGATTGGCAGACTCCTTCGTCATAACAACTTGTACATCTGATGAAGGCCTGTTAGACAGAANAATATCGGTAACAGCTGAAAGCAACTTCCGGAAGTCACTGAAGAGCAGTATCCTTTTGAACTGCGTAGGTCTGACTTTGCCTTCCGCTTGTTTTCCGTCTGTGTGCAACGTCAGTTTATATTCTCTCGTTGTCATCTCTTTATTGTCACTACAGGTTTTCGTTTAACTCGCCATCATCAGGTGAACAGGTTGTTATGATTTTCACTGTAATGCCGTTCTGCTTTTCTTATGTAACTTCTTCTGACTACTTCTAGGTTACGTGAGTTAACGGGCTGTTGCAATGAACATGTTTGCGTTATCTGCAATATGTGATCAGTTATATTAGAATTTTATGTCATACGAAAAGAGAACAGTGATACATTGATTGGCAGACTCCTTCGTCATAACNCTGTGTGCAACGTCTGTTTATATTTTCTCGTTGTCATCTCTTTATTGTCACTACAGGTTTCCGTTTAACCGGCCATCATCAGGTGAACAGGTTGTTATGATTTTCACTGTAATGCCGTTCTGCTTTTCTTATGTAACTTCTTCTGACTACTTCTAGGTTACGTGAGTTAACGGGCTGTTGCAATGAACATGTTTGCGTTATCTGCAATATGTGATCAGTTATATTAGAATTTTATGTCATACGAAAAGAGAACAGTGATACATTGATTGGCAGACTCCTTCGTCATAACAACTTGTACATCTGATGAAGGCCTGTTAGACAGAAACTTATAGTCACAATAAAGAGAGTTTCTTTTGTTGTAAGATTTGAGGCTTTCACGGCGGTGACTATGAAGAATGCAGTCTTCTGGGATTTGGCACCGTGTATATGTGGTGTTAACCGACGTTTCGNAGCGGAGAGACCGTGAGAACCGGTAAAAGCAGACTAGTTAACTAGTTAACTAGTTAACACTGCATATACACGGTGCCAAATCCCAGAAGACTGCTTTCTTCAAGATGAGAGAAGGTTAACCGACATTGCACATACACATAGAAGGCAAGAAGTGTAACACAAGATTGAGAACAAAATATTTTCTTTTGTTGTTGCTCCATTTCAGTATTCTTAAGATGCACTGCACTTGCCCAGTCGATGTATGACATTTCAAATGTTTTAAATTAGGAACTTATAGGCCATGACACGGCGATATCTGTTATTGTTTACAAACTTCCTTAGAAGCCCGCTGTTTCCTGATTAGGGCTACAAGTCGAAGTTAATGAATTTCCAACATTTTCCTTCAGAACTTACACAGATTGTACTGTGTCATAAAACAGATGCTCATAATCTGAATATACTGGCATGTGCTCCGTTCTCAATTAGTGTCCTCAGACATAATTCAGTTATCAAAATGGAAGTAGTCATCCAACAGATTACGAGCAACACGATGTATTTTGTTATTCCAGAGGACACTTTCACGTACCGATAGTTTTAACGCAAGCACCACAGCAATTTGCAAAGCAGCAGTCACACCATCGTCTTCTCTGCACGTACTGCTCGTCGGTGTGGCAGTCGGAGGCGTTAGTCACACCGCAAGCGGAAGTACTGCATACAAAACGACAAACCGTTGGAGGCCAAATCGAAAGACCAGAACCATGATTCGCTGACAAGAGTACGGTGTATGCAAAACTGAACACAGCAATGACAATCTGGAGAGAGATACAGGTAAATCATAAGCATATGTCTCAATTTGTAGTGTATGTCTGAGAAACTGCAGAAGGAGCTTACATGTACACCGTATGTTCTTTATACAGGCTGTTTCACCACTTTAGGGAATAACTGCAAGAGATGATTTCCTAGGCTTTGTAATCAAAAAAGTTCATATAAACATGTGTCCGAATTTCGACGGTTACGGAGTTTTGACCGTTTTAATCTCAGAATAGAAGGTAACGATTACGGAACAAAATAATAAACCAGCATAATACATGATACATTTAAAGTATGAATGTACAGTTAACTTAGTGAAATTACCTTTAATTTGAATTGATTGGTGCTTGAAGCTGATTTTCGAAAATGCCACCGCCGGCCGCAACACGGGCTGCCGCTCGGTTGTGAACCGCGCGGGTAGCACGTAGCAGCTTCAGCTGGCTGTTCCTTATGTGGTCAGCGGCGTCCAGAATGCGACCGAGCAAAGCATCTCGCGTTGCCACTTTCACATTGTAAACCAGTTCTTTCATCCATCCCCACACACAATAATCCAGTGGGCTTAAGTCTGGAGACCTGGCTGGCAATTCTTCGCGTACTCATACGTGGACTGCGGTGTACCATACGAACAATGCCTTCTTCATTGACGCCTTTATTAACAACACGATCGGCTGCAATACGAACGGCGGGAAGTCTACCGGTATCTCGCAATTCCTGGTAAACTCCAGTAAACACTCTCCGTTTCGGTATTCTACGATTCGGAAACCGTTGCTGACATTCAGCCACGGCAAGAACTGAGTTACCGTCAAAAAACCCGCACACATAAATCATATCTGCATACTCCTCAAATGAAAATGTAAATGGCATCGTGAACGTAACCGACGCACCGAGATGAGAGTTGTTCTGAACACCAGTAGCCGCCACATTAGCCGTGGTCGGACATAACAACCCACCACGCCTTAGGTACCTCTCAAGTGTCGTAATAACGAGAACGCTCTGTCTGAACCTGGCTAAAAATAGCGACCCGCCGGATGACAGACGCGGTTCACACGAGGGCGTGTACGGGAATGAAAAAATGGTCCTAACTCCGTAACCGTCAAAAATCGGACACATGTTTATATGAACTTTTTGATGACAAAGGTCTAGGAAATCACATCCTGCAGTTATGCTCTGAAGTCGTGAAACACCCGATATATACTGTTATGGTTTAAGGGGGAGTGGAGGATTCCTCCACCGCTTCCGCCATTCATGCTGTTGCGCCCTTGGGGTATGGCCAGTTGCAAGGCTAAGCGCTTGGTAATTGTCTCGTTAACTACCTCTTGGTTGTGAGTTCACAGTATCGAAAACATGAGAAGTACGTGAGAAAGGGGAAATAGAGGGTGTGACTGTGGCGTAAGTTATTAACACACAAGCATCACCTTACTTGGTCTGCTTTCGACTACTATATATACACTTACGTACATCACACTTTCGTAGCCGACAGTCGTCGGTTACGTACACATTGTAATTTGGATAACGATACACTTGGGTTCACCATCCCTACCTTTCGAGGTAACTGCTACGTCCCCACTCAGGGCCTACTCTCTCTGCCCTAACCCTGTAACATGACACTTTAATAATATCTCACTGTATATCCATGACTGATATGAATAGTTCGACTTACTTGGTGTAGGAAATTGATGGTGTCCCCTTGGTCTGGCACGGCCATGGCTCTGGCCCTCTTGGCCTCTAGCTGGCTACTCACTTAACATTGTACACTCAGTTACATTCATCGATAGTCGATAGATGATCAAAGATAGATGATCAAAAGATGATAAAAAGTAGCTCCTCCAGTTGCGTTAGCAAATTTATAACCTTCCCCCTGCTGACTCCTGTCTTTGGGGTCAGCACTAGAGGGAATTCTCCCCCAAAGTTCCGTCTCTCGTTGGTCAGATGGATAAAGACGGTTGGATCTTCTCAGGCCGTCTCGCTGAGTCGGCACTCTGTCCGCCTTGGCCGTCTGCCGTCTCTTCCGCGTGGATCAGCGCTACTATGCAATGTGACAATTTCTCGCTGACGCTGCTACTTCCTGCATTCTACTACGTACAAACATTAACCCTTCCTCTAACTTCTGTAACTGTGAACCCAAGATAACTTAATACCTAAAAGTTACCAAAACCAGTGCCGAAATTCTACGGCATTACATGTACATTTGTGGTTGTATATAATTATATAAGCAGATGTAACTGAAACGGAACGTCTTGAACAGCTAACAATGAATCGAGATAAGTTTTTGGGCTAGACAGAGACCCAGGGCAGTACAAAAAGTACAGGAAATTGTGAACAAGAAAGTGTATTCAGAGATTACAGAGTAGTGCTACAGAACTGGAGTAGCTTTTCTTCAATTTAAAATCTTTATAGAGTTATCTGTCTTCATCATTGTATTTTGCAGATAAATGTCAGTTTTTCAAGGATCGTCAATATTAGAAATATTGTTTCACTGCGTACTGTGACTAAACCTGCTTCTCACCATCTATAACGGAGAGAAGAGACACAAACTCCGTGGCCCAAAGTCCGCAAGCGAAGTATACCGACTGAGCGACCGCCTCTTATCGGCGAAGCTATTGCCAACTGCTGGGGATATAGTGTGTCACGTGGTAAGCACAAAGGATACCGAAGGTCATTTGTCTCGGTTTTCTAGACCGGAGGCACCATCTCATTCAAAGAGCTCCTCAATTGTCCTCACGAAGCTGAGTGGACCCCGTTCCACACACACACACACACACACACACACACTACTTCTCAGAAAATCTTGTAGCGCCGAAAATCGAACCTGGGACTTCAGCATTCGTAGGCAGGAACTCTTACCACTATACCACAGAGAATTTCGAGAAGAGACACAGTTATGAAATATTTTCTGATCTTTACGTATTATATATAAAACAAGTAAGAAGCCATTAAGTATAAAGTTTGTATGGCACAAATCTGATTTTTATATCAGATAAACCTGTAAATTCGAAATTATTATTGCCTATATGCTGATTCTTTGGCCGGTCACGGTAGCCGAGCGGTCTAAGGCGTGCACTGTCTCGCTCGCTCGAAAGCCGGGATCGTGGGTTCGAATCCCACTCAGGCCATGGATGTTTGTGTGGGTTTTTCTGTGTTTGTGTACAGGTAGAGGCCTTGCGACGAGCTGATCACCCGCCCAAGGAGTCCTACCGAATATCTAAGATCTAGAAAAACCGAAGTGAACGGAGAACTTTATGGAGGTAGGCCTAGGTCCACTGGGGCTGTAGTGCGAAGGATAATTAAAAAAAATGCTGACCCTTTATATTATAACTTGAAATAAATTAATAATTAAATTTATCGGAAATGAATCAAACATAATTTCGGTAGACAATATTTAACACAGAATACCATTACAAAATTCAATCAAAACCTTTGAAGTGTTTTGAATATGAAGCATGTGACAGGATACTCAAAGTGATTTTGTTTTATTTTACTTGGTTCGTGCAAATAGACCGCCTCTGTGATCTAGTGGTCGGAGTTTCGGGCTATAGATCCAGTGATCCCAGGTTCGTTTGCCGGCGCTACCAGATTTTCTGAGAAGTAGTGAATCTGGAACGGGGTCCTCTCAGCCTCGTGAGGATAATTGAGGAGTAATCTTATTGGAATAACGGCTCCAGTCTAGAAAACAGGAGATTAACGGCGGTTGGGATCCATTGCGCTGACCACGGGACACCCTCTATCCGAAAAAGTTGGCACTAACTTCGCCGACAAGCGGAGGTCGCTCGGTCGGTATAGTTCGCTTACGGACTACTGTCCAGGGAGTTTGTTGTTTTTTTTGCTTGGTTTAAATAACATAAAAATAAGCCTGCTGACTTATTTTCTTAAATTAGCTCCTGATTTCCTTACGTTGATAAGTTGTTCGTGTACAATACCTTATACCCTCCCATTGTATTTTCCTTTCCTATATCGGAAAGTCTTCGTTAGATTCTATTCTGACTGGTTAATGGACTGAACTTGACCTGTCTATTTATATATTCGTCAGTGGCAGAAATTATTTTATCCAACTACCAAACACAAGGCAATTATGATAAATTTTCGGTGCTTCCACTAAACAATTTACAACAAATATTATCGCGGAAGATTAGCCTCTAATGAAGTATTTGTCCTTAAACAGGAACTGGTGGACAAAGAAATGACCAACAGAAAGCAGTGGAAAATCCAATTTAAGCTATAATTTTTACAAAGATTACAGACAAAAATATCTCTTGCATACATACATACATACACACATACACATACAGAAAAACCCAAACTTGTTACTTCGTTACGAAAAGCAGGATATGAGATCCGGACATGGAAATGAGGAGAACCAGTCTTCCTTGTCACAGTCTTATCTGGCCACGTTGTGATGGGTAAAATTTCCCCGTATTTCCAGGGTTTTCGTTCCTTCATTTCGCTGGTAGAGATCCGATCGCCAGAAAACACACAGAGACTGGTGTTGAGAATTGAGTCTTCCAGTAGACCGAAGAAACAACCCTCAAAAGTCTCAAGTTAAAATTAAAAAGATAAGGTCAGAATTTTACTGATATGCTTTCTCTGTGTCAAAATTTATCGATTTCGAATTTGTTAATAGAAACATATAGTCGAAATGCGTTGTTTTTTGTTATTTAATTTAGAAAATAAATGAATTTTAAATACTACATTTGTACCTGTTGGTTCTATATAACCGTTGAAATGTCTCGTATAAAGCCTTAATTACTTGTATTAATGATGATTTCTGTATTGTGTGTATCTTGTGAACGCTTTTCGATCTAACTCCAAATTAAGGCAGGACGAGACAATTACCAGAGCCCGAATGCGTGTACTGAGCCACCTAAAAACTGAGGCTCGGTAGTTGGATGTTTCTGCTGTTTCCGTAGGTACAATGAGGCTACCAAGCTTAGCAAGCCTTGCCTGATGTCTCCAGTTGGGATACAGTAATCCTTTCCTATAGAGAGAAGTAATTCTCTCGTGCCAAATAATTTGTGAGAAGGTACTCCAGATTAGTTTGTCTACAAGAGTCAGTTGGGGCCTCCCAGATATTTCTGTAGCATACGGTGTTAATAATTAGGAGATATGTATACCCCTCATATTTGTTCCATTAGCAAAATATGTACTCAAATTTTTATACGTGTGTTTTCGAATACGTTCTTTGTAACATTTATTACATCATAGTCCTTAATTACAATTTATTCTTGATTAAATACTCGTAATAGTATAATTAAAATATATTTGTTTATTAAACGGACATTTTTAATGAAACTCCATTCTTTTTTTATTACTTTTGGGGTGGGTCTAAGTCCCTTGTACTGCGGCCATTTCTTGCCTATTGTACCAGCCGCAGATGTTTGATGATGTAACAGTTCATCATAATTTGTTGGACTATTTTCTATTAATGAAATCTATATTAAGTTAATATCAAGAAAATACAAAGAAAATCCGGCAGATAGCCAACTCTTACACGCAGAAGGGACATAGTTCAAATTTTGCTATGTGGACAGGAAGTACATCTGGTACTTTCCTGGAATTTTGGCAGTTTCAGCAGAGTCGGAAAGTCTTTGACAATTTGAGAGCTGGCAGCTTGGAACAGCTATAACTTAGAAGTGGGAGAGCCGGAGCCTCTTCCCCTGATCCTAATGCATCAAATCTCTATCAACTTTAGCGTCAGGTCAGCAACTGCCAGAGTCACATAGCAAAGTAACCTGATTGGAAATTGAGAAATTTAGGGAAATTCCTAGTTTGCATACTTAACCAATGGCAAAAGTGGAGGAGTGGATTTCTCCTGGAGTCTGTGGTTCGTGGACCTCAGGATTCAGAGAGAGTGCATTCCACCTCAAGGAGTCTTCATCCAACTTTCGGCAAAGTCGGGCACAAATTTACAACTACGTACCTTCAGTAAAAGTGTTATAAGCAAATTTCTAAAAAAGAGTTACTAATAGTTTCCGTTGCATTCAGTGAGCTGAAGTGAATTAAATAATTCATTCATTCATCAGTAATCTGTCAGAAGACAGGTCCACAGTCTCTTCCAAAACAGTTCCTCAACTTAATGCAATCTTCTGTTTTTGGAAAGAGACTATCCAGGAAAAGTGATAATGTGGTAGTTTTTCCATTTGCTTTCCACATCGCAGTACAGCAGCCGTTCAAACCACTCTGTTCACGCCTGTTGCTATACGAACTTGAACCATCTCGAGCATTATTTGCTCTGTGCTTCAAGTCGCTGCTGATGACGCTGGTTCCGGCATCAGTTTTTGGTGTCTCTCTTCGTCTGATGTCTACCCTTTGACCTGTCCAGCAAGGGAGGCCCTGCCAGTAACTACGCTACCGCTGGTATAGCTCTCAGGGTCCTTGGCATACTTAAACCCCCTTACCACGATGAGACGGAGACACCAAAATCTGAAGAGGTGAGTGTGATTGCAAGGAAAGATTCTTCCTGCCCTGCCAGAGCCAGACCCGTATAAGACCCCAGGATAAGAAAACATTTCTACCAATTATAGAACAGAACCCAGATACTCCCATCTTTCCCTACTTGCGAGACACTTAATGGTAGTACCGAAACAGAACTCCCGCCTACCAACACCAAAACCAAAATCTTCCTCCCTTCTCACCGAACTTCTCGCCATCCACGAGAAGAAGGAGGAGGGCAGTAACTCCAGTGGAGCTTTCCAGAAAGAGGTGCTGGTGAACCTCAGCACAAGGAAGGAGAGGACCCGGATAAGTGGAGACCAACGTAAGGGCCCAACGAAGTGAGCGGTTAGAATGAGGGTGATTGTGGAGTAACAGGCGGAATGAAGATTGGCAGGGGAAACCGAAGTACTCGGAGAAACACGGCCCCAGCGCCACTTTGTCCACCACAAATCCCACTTGGCCAGACCCTGGTTCGAACCCGGGCCGCCGCGATGGGAAGGCAGCGACTAACCGCTTGAGCTATGTTTGCGGCGTTCACTGATACATTCCTAAACTTCCGATCACTATTGGCACGCGTTGTAAGTCATGA